CCTTGCAGACTTTTTATATGCAGTGGCTTTGTTGGTTCTTTCTAAAGCATTTTTTCTCTTTCTTGTTTTGAAATATGTTCTTGTGGCAGCTGAAATATAAAAGTCACAATTTATACATCACAGTCATGTCTATGATAGAAATATTTTATTCAGTGCATTTAGATATAAAAAATTCCCAAGCATTGAATTCAGATTTCAGGGTTAACGTAATAGCTTTTGGACCCTTGTTAAATTTCACCTCAGCTTTGAACAACCCGAATCATAGGAAAATTATAAATTACCTGTGATTAATGCAGTAGAGTACTTTTTCTCAGTACTTTGCACATTTTTTAGGATGTCATTGTTGACAACTCTGTTTTGGTCTGATGAAAAGCTGAAACAAACATGCATTGCTTTCATTAACTAAAAATATGCACAGACTTGATATTTTCCATGATTTAAGTAAATATATCACCAAATTAAATAAGAATCTTTAAAAATTGAGATGGAATTTTGTGCAGTATACATGTACAGTATATGTTGACAACTTCCACATCAAATTTTTACACAAATCAAAAATTGACCAAGAGACCTCACCTCTTACTGAAATCCCAGAGATTTACATCTTCTTCTGCATTAGCGGCATCTTCAAAAGATTTGTAGGCTCCTCTTACTGCCTCCTATAGGACACAATGRTAACATCTTAATTTGCCTACAACATATTTGATGTAGGTATGAGAGTTATTTCCATGTTCTCATATCTGAAATTGGCTAGTGTAGTGTCATTGCTTTTGAAAAAATATCATTTGATTTTAAACCCCCGCTGCTACATGAGAACTTATAAATGGCGCTACCTMGTTAATTTATTCCATTGGCGGGAACAAAAAGCAAACATTGATAAGTTGGATAGCACGTGTTTCAAAAGGTATCTTCGAATGTCTACCCTGTAGTCTTGATCTTTGCAACCATAAGTTATCACTAGTACTAAGAAAGAGGAAAGAGTCTTACCGTTAATTTCAATGGGAGGGGAGCCTTTCTTTGACTGTCTTGTGATGATCCACGATCATTTTCCAGCAACTGTAGCACTCTTTCATTAAAAGAGCGTTGCTCGTCAATAAAAGCTTGAATATCAGTATTTTCCGAGCCACTTGATAATTGATCGGTCGGGGATTCCATTGGTGTTGTTGCAGGCATAGTTGGCAAAGGAGTAACAGGAGCGAGAGCGCTTGAAGTAGAAGTTTCCGATGCACTAGTTGAAGGTGTTGAAGAAAGCAATGGCGATGGAATCGTCAAGTCAGCAGTAGGAATGGTCCGGGTCGTATCGGATGAGTTTGGCGGTGTTGATGAGTTTCCAGTAGTCAATATATTACGACGTATCTGCCTCTGTCCTTTAGTTAATCCTCTGGCCATGTTAGAACAGTTTAAGTTTAAAAAAACGAGAGAACTTTCAGCATAAACTACACAGAATCAAGCGAAATCGCAAAAGAGGACGGTAATGTCGGTGAGGGGAGATTTGAACTGCCACTGTTTACTCTAGATCTTGCCGTGATTGGTTAATTCANGTGAAGATGCGGGTTTTCCTGACACCTACGAACCACAACCAAGTGATAGCCCAACAGAAAACGTTCAAGGTTTGTTCTACATACATACTATTGAATGAAAATTGTTGTAGGTCAATTTATAGCTCTTTGAATCCTAAAGTATTCGAAAAGCTATAAGTTTAAAGAGTTGAAATCTTTGARTCTCTAAAGGTATAACTTAACTTAAATTTGATATCTTAGAATCTTTTAACCCTTCATTTAAGCTTGTTACTTTACATGTAGATTATAAAAGTTTATTTATTTTCACTAAATTGAGATTTGATGTTTGAATGATCGCAATTTTAGAGCGATCAGTGCTGCCTTTTTGTAATTTTTGATATAAAAAAGTAAAATTAAACAATCAGACACTTTAATTTCTAAATCAAATTCCTTTACCCTAGGAGTCCTTGTTGATGAACTTGAGGAAGAAGATGTAAGATTGACAGAATTCTTGACAGGAGTTTGTGAAGAAGAGCTCATGTACATGGAACAGCCTCTCTTTGAAGCAAGTCAAGAAGTGTGGAACTTGAATGAAGATGAAATAAATCATGACTTTACGCCAACTTCAAATGGACAATCTCCTATGTACCATGATGTCAGAGAGGATAATGCAATGCACATAATCCAGTGGATGATGATATTYTTGTGTATGTGGTCATCATACTGCTATGTGTCAGATCACGCAATGGAAATTCTAATTAGTTTCATTGGAGCAGTATTCAAGGCTCTTGGCTCCCTTTTCCCAGCATTTGCTGGTATGGCTCTGTTATTTCCCAATTCATTAAATGCATTGAAATGCAAATTGGGTATGAACAAAGATGAGTTTTTAAAATTTGTGGTTTGTCCAAAGTGTGAGACTCTGTATGATTTTGATGAGTGCTATGAAGAAAGATTTGGACGAACAGTGATAAAAAAATGCCAGTTCATCAATAATGAAAACCACAGACAAGCATTTAGGAGAACTGTATGCAATGAACCTCTTTTAAAAGAAGTAATCCTAAAAAATGGAAAGAAGAGATTCTACCCTTTTAAAGTCTTCTGCTACAACAGTATTATAGACAGTTTAAAGAGAATGGTTGCCAGACAGAATTTTTTATCTAACTGTGAACAGTGGAGAACAAGGAATGTTCCACAAGGGATTTTGACTGACATTTTTGATGGTAAAGTCTGGAAAGATTTTTTGTATATACAAGGACAACCCTTCTTAGCCAATCCTCATAACTTTGCCTTCATGATGAATGTTGATTGGTTTCAGCCCTTTAAACATTCCCTGTATAGTGTTGGAGCTATATACATGGTCTTCATGAATTTGCCCAGAGAATTGAGATTCAAACCAGAGAACATTATACTAGTAGGGGTTATACCAGGYCCCCATGAACCAAAACTGACAATAAATACTTATCTTAAACCGCTTGTTGCTGAGCTAAATACTTTGTGGAAAGGACTAGAAATTCATTCATCAGAAGCTGGTGGTATCCTAACTATTCATGCAGCACTTTTGTGTGTAGGCTGTGATGTTCCTGCAGCAAGGAAAGTATGTGGATTTACAGGACATGGATCTTGCCAAGGGTGTTCAAAATGTAAAAAAGTGTTTACTGGAAATGTGTCAGAGAGAATGGACTTCTCTGGTTTTGAACCTTGCCCTCCACGGACAAATGAGGAGCATCGAAAACAGGCACAGGATATTTTAAACCAAACTTCTGCCACAGATAAAYCCTCTAAAGAAAAAGAGTATGGTACAAGATTTACAGAATTGATGATGCTGCCTTACTTTGATTGTGTTCGATTCCACATCATCGACCCAATGCACAATCTTTTTACAGGAACTGCGAAGCATATTATGAAAAACATTTGGCTTGATGATTCCTTGCCAYTTATTGAGAGAAAGAAACTTGAGCAAATCCAAAAGAAAATAGACAAAATTATTGTCCCATCAAGTGTTGGTCGTTTACCAAAGAAGATCTGCAATAGCTATGGTGGTTTCACTGCTGATCAATGGAAAGCGTGGACCATCATCTACTCAATTTATGCACTTTGGAATGTTCTTCCACAAAAGGATTTAGAAGTGTGGCGCAATTTTGTTTTGGCATGTAGTATTTTGTGTACCCCAATCATAACAGAAACCAAAGCTCGACTGGGACATCTGCACCTGATGTCGTTTTGTAAGGAGTTTGAAAAGTTGTATGGTAGCACAAAGGTGACACCCAATATGCATCTACACACTCACATTTTACAATGTATTTTTGACTATGGTCCTGTCTATTCTTTTTGGCTATTTAGTTTTGAAAGATATAATGGTATTTTGGGTGAGTATTCTACAAACCAGCGATCCATTGAGATACAGATTATGAGAAAGTTCTTATCAGAACAATTTGTCAAAGCAATCTCTCTACCTACTAGTTATAAAGACATTTTTGCTCCACTTTTGAGCAAATTGAGATCCAGTACAATCGGAACTGTAAACTCTGCGGTTTATGATAGTTSATCAGACTTAGTCATCAAGCAAAGTCTTCTTTCTATTGGTCCAGTGAGAAAAGGACTGTTCTGGATAATTSCAGATCAAGTAGATTTYATGACATGTATACCACCTATATTCAAGACTTCTATTGCAATGGACTCTCTCCCATATTTGAAATCTTCATATAAATCTTTCTTAAGTGGTGTTGATGAGTCATCCGTGACTGCCTCATGTGAAGTTATTTCCAGCATACRTGTTGCAGGTGAAATATTTGGATCTCTATCATCAAGGCATTGTAGATCTGCTTACATTTTGGCTGCTTGGTGTGGTTTAAATGGACGAGTAGATTCTTCTGGTACAAACCTTCGTCCAGGTGTTATTCAACACTTCTTACAGCAAAATGTTCATGTCAATGGTCAACTTGAAACCTGTATCTTAGCTGAAGTAAAATGGTTCCAGGAACACCACAAAAGACATAAATTAGGAGCCCYAGTCCAAGTATGGTGCAAAGACCACTATRAAATAGATGGTCCTGCAGGCTTCCTGCCACTACAGAGAATTCACTCTAAATTTGTACCAGCATATGACACAATTGACAATGAAAATGTATTAGTCGTGTGCCCTCTGCCTCGTAAATTACAATGCTGATTTGGCATATCATGAGTTTGCAATGTGAACACAGATCAATTCTGGCATCATTTAGCAAATTATTGTAGTAACAAGGGGATAAGAAGTAGTCTTTAGACGCTATGTAATATTGAACTTTGTATATACATTTTAGTTTGTTGCTGTTGATTCATTATTAATTGTGAAATAGATTTTGTTTAGAGAAAGTTTTCTCAATGTAGACTCAGTTTTGAATTTATGGGATTTCTGAAAACTAAGTCTACCACACCACTATAAACAAGCATGGACAAGAAAATATTTCTATCCTGGGWGCCCAGAGCCACTACAAGAGTGTTCTAACTAGGAAATACTGGCTAGGTAGGCTGAACTACATACAGTATTTCTCTAAATAATATCTATAAGTATTCTATATATTTGATAGAAATATACTTCAATAAAAGCTAGAAATAGAAATTTAGTTTGCAGAATATTTTAAAATTGCAGTGCCAAGTTAGCATAAAAGCACAAGTAATGCAATATTTTTTTAAAAATAACACAACAATTTTAAAAGACATAGAGCCATCTTCAGTTTCAATATGGTTACATTTTACAATCATTYATACTTATTTATAGATAATATGATTAAATTACAACGGTMAAAAGTAAAAAACAAGAGATGAAATTACATTTCATGGATTTCATCTCTTGTTTTTTACTTTTGACCGTTGTAATTTAATCATATTATCTATAACTACTATATAACTGATTGTAAAATCTAATCATATTCAAACTTTAGATGGCTTTATGAAGTGAAGTTTATGAAGTTAAATTAAGTCAAGACATGTTTTTTAAATTTAAAATTGCTGGTTATTTTTTTCTCAAAAATATTGCAGTTACGGTTTATCATATAATCATGTTTAGTGACTGTTGTCCCTAACTTCTTTAATTTTGATAAGTATTACTAATATTATATGTTCTGTATTTTGACTCTATTTCTTCATTCCCATTTTTTTTAATTCACAAAGTTATTTTTGGTCTTTGATGGAAAATATGTAGATTAGCAGTTATTGGTGTGTAATATGCTGGTCATGAGCTTCCTGGAGATAATAATAATATATATATTTCTTAAATAAGATAATCTCCTTTAATGAAATTCTACAATAATAAAATATTTTACAATCTTCTAAAAATAATCTAATAATAATAATAATGTGTCACTTTTTAATTCATTTGGTAAAGAATTACATACCACAATATTACATGAAGATAGATTGGTAAATACAATAGTTACTATTATAAATACATCAGTTATATCGAAAAGAGAGCCTTTTAGAAAAGTACTGTTTTCAGTGTTCGCTCTGGGGCTGTGTGCTGATTTGTTGCGAAGAGCCCAGGAACTTAGCTTTAGGTATGTTATGAGCTAAAGGGTCGGATTTCTCAAATTTACAGATCTTATCAAATWTTTTTTTGTCAAGAAATGCCACGGTCTAAAAGGTTTTGTATGGTAGCGAGATCGGGTTCAGAGACACCATAGACTGAAATACCATATGTAATCTTAGCGATAATGGCAGATTTGAAGGTGGTTTATTTCTTCCTGAGTGAGTCCTTTATTCCTTAGAGTTCTTATTACATAAAAACACTTATTAGAAATGTGATTTACGTGTATTCACATTCACATCATTTACTGCAACTGCAGTGAAACGTCTCAGTATTCTTGAGTTTCATATTAATTGCCTTCTAAGTGTTACATATAATAGAGTCTAGTTTGTATAGGTGAGTTTTGGATCTCTACAAAATATCAACTTTACGTAATTGRGAAATATAGGTATTTCATAGATAATTATATGATAAAAGAATTTATTACATGGCTTTGGTGAGGCTGATACAGCGTAAAAAAGATTGCTAAAAGGATTCATTCACTGTAAAAACACGACAAAATACTATAAAATTAAATTAACTTTTCGAAGAAAAAAGAGGTCCCCTAGACCACGCCACGATACATTTATACTAGCCTCTACCTACAGTTGAAATCACGACTTTCCTGCAAAGCGAGTGCTAGCGTACGGGCCTTCCTTGAATGTCGGGGCGCCTTTCGGTCTTTGTTTATCAAGGAAACTCACGGTGGCTTGCTTGGTTGCATGGGAGGGAATTACCGGCCCCAAGACCATTCACACGCCGTCGCGCACATGATAACCCCTAGCTTTGGCCAAGCTGCTACACATGATATAAAAACATGCTTTTTATATGSCAAGAGGAGCGTGTAATCTTCAATGTGGGATACTTCGAGTTTTTCGCTCTGTCCACTGTGCACGCATGCGCACGCATGCGCACGCATGTACGTCTTTACAAAAGATTAAGTAAAAGACCATGATATATAGCGTATTTGAGTATTATACGCAAACACTAAGCCGTAGGGTCTCCGAATTGCAACAGTTAAGTCCGCATAATAAAGATTTACAGTGATAGAAGACCAATTTTGAAAAGATTTTCCACTCAGCGCTAATATAATAACTAATGGCGTGAATATCGTACTTCGCGTCAGTTTCACATCCAAGTGAATTTAATATTCACTCAGGAATGTAAATATGGCGTGAATATCGTAGTTCACGTCAGTTTCACATCTAAGTGAATTTGATATTCACTCAGGGATGTAAATATGGTGC